TGGAGAGCCAGGAGGAGAAGAGAGGAGTGGGTGAGAGAGGAGAAAAGGAGGAGAGGAGAGGAGAGGAGAGGAGAGGCAAGGAGAGGAGAGGAGAGGAGAGGAGAGGAGAGGAGAGGAGAGGAGAGGAGAGGAGAGGAGAGGAGAGGATAGGAGGAGGAGGAGGAGGAGGAGGAGGAGGAGGAGGAGGAGGAGAGAGGAGGACAGGAAAGTTGGAGAGTGGGTTAGGGTGATAGATTTCATCTTTCTTACTTTCGATTCTGTTTGCAACGTGTTGCCATCTGACTTTGATCGTTTCAATTGACGAATGAAGATGTCAGAGGAGCTCAAACATGCAGTATCAGATGCTCTGATGCGACAAACTCTACAAGTTCGCTTCTCAACTGCAAGACAACACAACCTGACATGTCTTAGCATCAGGCAATGATGGACCAGGCACAATATGAGCTGGAGAGGGCGAAGAGCGAGACGAGAACTGTTGCTGCTGCCTGTTTTCTTGCTCGATGTTGAAATCTCTCAGATCGTTATCGAGAAGGACAAGTTAATCGAAGATCTCAAGAATCGACTGATGGAGAGTAGAAGACAGTTTGGGTGATCTCTTTCCTGCTGGTCTGATGATTGTGATGGTGGGAAAACTCGTGTGTTTGCAGCGTCCGCCGATACCCAGCAAATCGAGATGTTTTGTCCGACGTTTTCGATCACAACGAGGTTGGAACCTGTTCCTACTGCAAACAATATGACAAACTTCCAAGATGTCGATAATGACGAACGGGACGGCAGTCAGTGATTGTAAAAGTTGAAGTTCTCCGACAACTTCGCAACTGAACATGTCTCCAGTCATGCGGTCAAGACCGTTCTCCCCACCCCTTCCTCCTCTTCCCCAGGTGAATCGTTGTGTGCGTTTTCATTTCGGACCTGATGAGAGCTTTGCTCCGGTGGGCAGGAGGAGGAATTTGAAAGACTATCGTCAGTCGTTGAGCACTTGGAAGCTCTCAAGACTAAGTTGCAGGTTGAAAGATCGAGCTCAATGTTGGACATGTCAAGTAGACAAACATCTTCACTCTGGTGATGAAAATTTCCATGTGATATGTGAAGAGGATCTACAAGTTGTTTCATCGTCTCTACTGCCTTCATCCCATTGGTTCGTCGCCTTCGTCCTCCATCATCTCCTTGGATTTCTCCTGCACAGATTGCGAGGAAGCGTTAGGAGGAGGAGGAGGAGGAGGAAGGGGGGACGGGGGAAAAATGATGTGAAGTAGAGCAAACCTGAAGATAAAGCAGGAACGCCTGATTGAGACAGATTGTCACAAACAGCATATGACGATGTTGATGGTGAGGTGACGATGACGATGATGATAATGATGATGTAATGATGCTGTTGTTCTTCAATAAACAAATTTGACGCAGCAGCAGAGTAGGGAACTTGAAATGAAGGAGGAGATGGGAGATAAAATAACTTGAGAAGAACATCATGGAAAGATGAAGAAGGGAAAACACGTATCTTCGACGCATAACACTCAAAAGAATGATTGCTGATGGTGATTTCAACATACACATCGAAGTTGAAGAAAGTTTGGATCGTTTGAGCTACCCTTCCTCCTCCTCCTCCTCCTCCTCCTCCTCCTCCTCCTCCTCCTCCTCCTGCCTCTCCCGTTCCCTCCGCACCACCTCAACATCATTTTGCCCCCCTACGCTGACGAAAAAAAGCTCGAGAGATCCATGAAGGTGAAGAACAGATGAAGAAGACTGATGAAGATGAAGAGGAAGATGAAGAAGAACAAGAAGAAGATTTCAGCGCGAAATCTTGCGGAGCAATGTGATTGAAAGAATTAGAAGGGCAGATGTCAACTCAAATTGCAATGGATGATCTGATAATGGAGGTTGGGGTGTCATAGGGTTTAGGGTTTAGGGCTGCAAACGGTTTTGAAACGGATGAGATGGAAGCAACTGACCATTGGAACAGCCCGAGGTTCAGTGAGGAGGGAAAGAAGATGATGTATATGAATGCAGCAAGAAGCTCAGCTCACTACTCGAGCTCGTCGGTGTTGGTTGCTCGATGGCCTCCAGAGGGAGCGGGACAACTTGAGCGAAGAATTGTCGTCGGCATTGTTGGCCTTCCCAACTCCGTTGATGAATTTCCCGGACTTTTCCTGCCTGTTGAACAACTTCCTTCTCGGTAGCAGCTCGTGAAGTTTCTGATCATGGCCTGACAAGCTTGCGGAGGGTGTGGGCAAG